TACTTCATCCTGTCTCTCTGATGTGACCAATTCAGTCAGAAACATGCATGTATTTAAAGAAATATTAATTAGATCAAGAAAGCAAGCAGCACTCAGTCTGACGGTTGCAAGAGGTCACAGCACCAGAGAGGTTTATCTAAAGTAAGGAGGAAGAGAGAGATGATAGCCTCAGGCTTTGATCATGGACTATTAGTTTGGAATGCTAAAAGAGAACTACCTCATGCAGTTAGCATAACCACCAACTCTGCACCTCCAAGCCCCACGTTAAAATGCATGCAGCTTATCATTGCAAATGAATTCATTTACCCATGACCAAGGTGGGGAATATGACCTTCTCACGCCTAGTGGAGAAAAATTGAAACAGGTTATGCACATAATCAAGACATTCTTGGGCATAACCCTGCATGCAGGAAAATGGGGCAAAGTGTTAAACTAAACCTGACCAGACCTCTCCTCTTTGACCTCTGCACCAGAGTACTCTGCTCTGCATGGGCAGGCAAGGGGTTCTACTTCAGGGACAACCAGCACTCCCTCCTACATGCTCCATGACCCAGAGAGAAGCCTGGAGCACTGCAAAGCACTCTACAGGACATGGGGTCACTCACCTGCATCTGGGTTTCTCTAGAAAAGAGGGAACTGGGGTAACTTATTCTTATAAGGTAGACAAGGGAACAGAAAGAAGACCCTGGTGTCACAGCTTGATGTATTACAAATCAGGGTTGTGGACAAGAGTGTCTACTGTGTGAATACACCTTCATGCTTCACAGCACTGCTAGAACTGGGCAAACAGAGGCTCTTCTCTCATTCAAATTTTAGCCTGTTTTATTAAAACAAAGCCAAACAGATTCACAAAAATAATCTAAGAATAAACATCTACTACAAGGATTCTGACATTCAAGAAAGCAGGAAAGGGAGCAGAGGAGTGGTGAACAAGATAATGCCCCAAGAAATAAATGCCCCATGCTGGCTCATGTGCTGGCTCAGTTCTGCTGTTCAAGGGCCAGGCCTCTGTGGAGCTCATCAAGGTCAGAGCCATTTTGTTACCCAACTGGACCAAAGTTAATAAACAATTAAGAACAATTACAACAGCAAAAAAAATTAGTATCTAAATTACTATGTATCTGAGAACATCCTCAGGTGCTGTTCTGCCATGCCCTGGTGTCTAGAGACAAACCTCATGTTCCTGAAGGAACAACTCTGCAGGAAAATCTTACACCAGACTTTGTTGAGCTTTAAAAAAAAAAATAAAAATAAAAAAATTAAGTCCTGACCCTTGAAATTCTCTAGCAAAGCTTCAGTGAAAGCCCAGCTCCAGCTGTCCTCCAGGCTTCCCCTACAGTGATGCTCAAGTAGTGTCTCCTACCCCTGCTCTCCTACACCAGCTCCTGCCCAGCTGCACTCAGCAAGCCAAGAGCAGGTGTTTGCTGCTGATGGGAGATGGAGACTCATCAAACATTTTAACCAACAAAAGGGCAGATGAAGGAAAGTCCATGGAACTGTAGTGATGTGATGAGTTACCTCTGTCCCAATCCCACCACCCAACAACTGGCTGTTCTTCAGGTAGCAGCTGCAGATGGGATTGGATCTATGATCACACGTGGCTGTTTCAGGCTCCAGCAACAACTAGGGGCAGGGATGAGAGTGCAGGGGCTGGAAAGAGCAGAGGAGGAGAGGGGAGAAGAAGGGGCATGCCTGGCCTCAGCTCCTCATGCCCAGCCACCACCACAGTGTGCTCTGGATCCAGAGACTCGTGCCAGCATGGCTGGGAGCTCAGCGGCTGCTGCAGCACGCGGGCACGATGGGGCTGACCTCATTTAGGTGACAGCTGCTTGGTTCATCTTCCATGTGCAGACAAAAATCACACAGGTTTTACAGAGCAGCCATGGAGATGTGTACACAGCACAGACGCTGCACTCACCCCCTGTGTGCACAGACCTCACCAGGGGCAGGAGCGTGGAGCAGGAACCGATATAAGGGGAGAAGTGAGCAGCACTCAGGGGTGCAGAGGGGAAGGACAAGACAGCAGGGTCATGCAGGGATCTCTAACAACTTGCAGATAAGCACATCAGTCATTTCCACCCCCTTATCTAGCCCACTAACATCCTCCAACTCTGCTGGAGAAGTTCTCTAGCACGAGGCTGGGTTCCTAAGCCTTTTTCAGCTACAGCCTACTCCTCACTCCAGGCAGCCAGCTCAGATAACAAGTGCGATGACAATCTGGATAATTAAAAGTGCCCCCCACCCCCCACAGCAATCAGCTTATCGTCACAGCACAACTCAATATAGCCACGCTGCCTCCTAAGAACAGCTCTTATCCCTCCCTAGCATCCACCCTGACAGCTTGCACCTGAAATGCAGCCTCTGCATTGCAAGTGTGAGCGCTGCTGGGATGATGCACAGACCCTGTCAGTCTTGCAGCGTGCAGACAACCCACAGGTCCGAGCAATTTGCACATGCCACTGATTTTGTTAGGTCTCTGAACTCTTCTTTTCCAAAAGCAGCAAAACAACAGCAGCTCTAAAAAACTCTGAATGTCAGTTTCTAAGATGCAACTTGCCCAGCTACCCACGTAGCAACGCGATTCAGCTCAAACAAGGATGATTGTGGGAAGCTCAGCCTGTCTGCTCTGAACACGGCACTCTTTAGGTTGGTAACAGCTCACTTAATTCTCTAAAATAAATTCTGGATTGAGAATGTGCTGAACATTAGCACTGAATTGCACTGGTTTGAGGTTTAGCATGGAAGACTACAGTCCTGCAGGGAGCATGGAGGGTCTTTTGCCCAGTGACACCAAGCAAAGTCCACAGTACCACGGTGCTAACACTGGAGGAGCGCTGTGCTTCTTGCCCTGCTCCTCAGGGCTCCTCATACAACCACAGGGCCCTGCAGGAAAAT